GGAGTTTCGCTCATTTGATTTTTACCATGTTAATCTATACGACAGCATCGTCAGTGGCCGTCGACGTTCCTCGGAATTCTGACTCTTCTTCAGCCCACTTACACGGTCGGGTATACTCTTGACGTACTGTCCCGGTTTCTGTGGCCTACGTCAGAGCGGAAATGCCGCCAAATTTAGAAGATGGATGCACAGCCGACTGTTTCTTTTCTTTTTCACTACGTCCTTTATGCTTTCCCAAGCTATCCAGCCCGCTCATTGCCTTCTGCTCAGCTGCTCTAGAGCTATGTTACCCTTCATGTTAACTTCCCAAATACACAGCTGATTCGATATTGGTTCTGCGAGCGTATTTTAGAAAGCAGTTTCGTTCTTGTTGACTCAGTGTCCATATGCTTTTATTTAATTTATTTATTTTAACATGACTCGTCATCATATCTACTGTGTGGATTCCAGCACTTCTTGCATTCGAATCGTTTTCCTCGTATTCATCGTCCACAAAGGTCTTCGAACATTTCGCATCTCGTTTCGGAATCTGTTTTAGAATTTCGTCTCCTTCAGAATGCCATAAGATTCTAGTTAACTCGATTCTCATTACAATCTTGGAGATGGTCAAGCTAAGGCGTCCCACGTGGATTAGATGAGAGCCGCTTCCTTCTTCCGGTGCCCATATTAGGTCTAGGAATTAACATTTTACAACGGTGCATGCTGAAAGAAAGCTAGCGATGAGAATTTGGCACACGAAGTGGAGAGAGTAGAATGGAAAAAAGTGGGAATAGCACCAAGGCGTGGAGAAGCAGATTCTGCCACTGAGAAGGAGGAACGAGGACAACTATTGACGTTTTCCCTGTATAGATTTATAAGATGGATTTCCATATTAATTCTTAAGGCTAGTTTTCCACATCCATCTATAACAGAATAATCCTCTAGAAAAGTTATATGATGATTTTCAAGCGTAAGATGTGGGTGGAGCATGAAAATCCGTGCATGTTCTCTTGTTGCGCATTCCGTCGTCATCGTAGCCGTCACCACTTCACCAAACCTGATGGGACGTCGCGCACCATAACTGGGGTGAAACGATTGACGGGCTTATCGCTATCTCCGGCCAGCTCGTCACTCTCATCTCTACATTCGGCTTTTTATGGCTAAATTCTTTCGTGTTCTTCGAATTTAGCCATAACTCTTAGATTTTATTTATTGCCTATTCTTTTCTGACTGACAAAAAAGCAAACAAACGGCCTTGGTTGTTGTGGATAGCACGTGAATCCCTGCTAAAGGTAATCGCGAGTTCGAAGCTCAGCCGAGATCCCGAGCGTAACTGGTACCTTAAAATCTTTTTGGCTAATCCATTTACCAGTTACCCATTAACTAAATGGTGTTATGCATCTATGAGTAACCATCTAAAAGTTCTTCAACAACACTCTGCTTTTACTTTAATTTAGGTTAAACTAATTAAACGCATGGATAAAAAAACATGTAGTTTGTCGAACTAGCCGATAGCATCGCCAAATTCTCGTGATACTTATAAAATGCTGCCCATTTTTCAAAAACCCTCCAAGGTCGTCTCTATACTTGAGTTTCATTACTGTATGTGCTAAGGTGTTTCACCTCGCTTTTAATGTGCAATTAACGTTTTGCACGACGAGTGTTAAATATCTGCCTCTTTTTCTTTTTTGTTGGGTGCAATCTTTGCTAATCTAAATGACCTATCAAAGAATACTTCTTTCAAATACAATCTACACTTTCGTTACGAATTTATGTTAGAGGTGCCCTACAATACACAATAGAATACGCGCTTGTTAGATACCGCGCCGCCTTTACCAAGGTTTTTATCCCACTGAGATTGGCAAGTTCCTAGCAGACTTTTTTGGAAGAACACTCTAATTTGATACATCAGCACGCCAGAGGTCATAATATAAGCCATTTAGTCACGTTTGTGATGCTTCCACAACATCAGGAAGACCACCGACCTGATGGTCAGAGTTCTTCACTAAAAGCTTAGGAGAAAGGTATGATACCCAACGACTCCTAAAAGCTAGCAGAACCGACTGGGTTACTCTCGCACGTGACAGGGAAAAATAGAAGATTCACTGGCGCACGCTCGAGTCACTTGACAATCACTGGGACGACAGGTGATGCAGGCGGTGTTGCTTGCAATGGAATCGAATGCGTGTCACATCTCTCAGGGATTGATCATTGTCAAACACCTTGCACCTTCACGTAAATCTGTTTGGTTTTCGTTTTTTTCTTCTTTATATAAACCATATGTTTAACTGGGAGTAGACACAGAGGAAGGGTCTGCCTTACAACAACAGCTAAATATTTTTATCTTTACTCTAAAAGTCTTCGTTGAGCTATCGGTGATTCTTTCTTGGTAAAAGTACTGAAAAAAGGGCCATGTACATGGGTTTTCAATCGAGACACCACGCAACGATCGTAAAAGGGGTAAGTAGGGAGGAGGGATTGTTGTGTTCGTTTCCGAATTAAGCTCTTATCGATATGCCTCCAGTTGTTCAACCATTTTCTTCATATATTTTATAATTCCGGACATTACAGCAATCTACTTTAAAGTTTTTAAACCTTTCAAAGGTCTCTTAGCACTCACAAATCGTCTATGACTCGATTCAAAGTGATTCACTAAAGGTGTGCGTTTAATAATTGCGAACAGGTTGAGTGAACCAGTTACCAATTGTTCAGTCTATCCAGCCATTTTCTACTATTAGTTTTAGTTTTTCTTTTGAATCATTACCAACCTGATCCGTAAGAATGAAAAAGTGGCTCATAATCTACTTTTAGCGTTTTTCCTAGCCATCCATCAAGGAATTCATAGTCGAACGACGCATGAATGAGCGTTCTTGACACAGTTTCTCTCTCCAATTTCCTGTATTCTTCTTAGTTCTCACAATTGATTTTTCTTAGATATTTATAGTAGACTCACTTATCTGCGCTGATGAGCGAATATTATAATTCTTGTTTAGAACTACGTTGTCTCTAGTACCAATAGAACTTTACTCAGATATGTTGTCACGATTACAACTACTTCTAGCAGGTGGAGTACTTGGTTGTGCTGTTCTCGTATTCTCCCAACGTATGTCTTTTTATGATTCATATAATTTTTAACGGCTTATTTTTGTTGCTAGTGAAAGGAGGCGTGTCGCCTCCAATTAATAATTGGGGCATTTTCCTTGACTTCATAGCGCGACCATGGACTCAAAAATGCAAAGTGCAAAATAATAGCGGTACTTATGCCTTTCGCTTCTCTAATTTGTCCCCTGATGCGACAAGAAACTCGTGCCAGAGGCTCTCACATGATTACCAGATGTCGCTCAGGGTTTTGTTGTATGGAATATGGTCCTTTCAAGACCTCTGCTCTTCCTATCATTGATTTATTTCTTTTTTAGTCTACATAAAAGTTTAGAAAAAGAGAAAAAATTCCAGTGAAGGACGATTGTTATTATTCGTAGTGCTCTTTTAGCTTCACATAAATTGCTGTGATAGTTCTAGAGTTCTTACTACTATCAAAGCAATTCGTTAAGACGTAAAAGATAAATAAGCGGTGTAAAATTCGAAATTTTGCGTAGATTTTTAATGGAATGACTTCCTGACTTCAGTTCTTTTTTCACTGACACAACGTCACGCTTTGTGGACAGGTCTGGATAGATTCATAGTTGCTTAGGAAAACCGGTTTCTCGACCGTGATTGCTGCTGATGATTGGAGCCAGGACTCTGCTTTATGATAAGCCGAAATTGAATCAACCGACGATAGACCCTAGTCCAATCCAAGAATTTTCTTGAAATCTTCGACTTGACATTAAAAAATGACGCGATGTTTCTCAATAGATCCAAAAATATTAACTTTCCTTCTTTCATTGCTAAGTGCACCGAGGTTATTCTAGTGAAAAATGAAATAACATAAAATAATAAGCAATGAAGAAGTAAACTAGTAAAACAATAATAAAATAAAGTGACAAAATGGCAAATAAAATAAAATACGCTTAAGAATTTCACTTCTCTATCGACTTTTGTAACTCGTTGTCCATGAAGCAGTGTGAGTTTTACTAAACTACTAATCTCGTGCCAAGGATTCTAGAGAATTTAGGATTAATTTTTAAATGAACAGTGATTTATCCACGTATAAGATAGTAGTACTAATAGTAATACTAAAACAGCAACACCTACAACCAGGTAAAAGAAGTCTCTGACAATTATTTCCTTATTTGGGTTACCTGAGGGCGCGTTCGACGCAGTGGTCGGAGGTTCCCTTCAACACACACGTGGAATCGATCCCCGCTCCGATGGCCCTCAATTCGAAACGACGCTTAATGAGTAGAATGCACGGCGCATCCCTCAAGGATTGATCAACTCCGCGAACTTTTTTAGAGTTTTTAGGTTATCTGTTACACTTTTGTTCCACCTCTTCGTGGGTGGTAGGCTTTTCTGGGTGTCGAAATGCGGTACAACAGTTCATCTCCTAAGCAGGCCTGATGAAAGCTATGAAAAATTAACATTTCTTTTTGTAGCTCAAGTAAGAGTACAGAAATACTACTACTGCGGAGCTCTACTATGCAAAGCTTCTGAGTTCTCCTGAGAGCAGACGTGTATCCCTGCGAAGCTCTGTTATTTACCCTATCCCAAAAGGGCATCAATGTGATGCTTAGGCATCTGATTTGCTTAAGCCAACACAGCCGACACAACTAGAGTTCATTAGTGTCGGCTCGAGCTACTCATCGATTACAGTGAGACTACAGGCAGCGAAGATGGAAGATAGATAGATTTTCACGAAACTAAACCAAAACAAATCATAAAATGCCTAAACGCTCTTTTACTTCACTATATAGTCAGCGAGACACTTGTTTACTTCTCAGGTAGTGTTCTATGCAGTGCAAAAGAGAATGAGTACGATCACGTTTTTTCATTATCGTAAGTGTACCAACGATAGACTGTCATTGAGCCAAAACAAGCGATCCCACACAGAGCACTGTTCGGCAGATCGTTTGAAGACGAAGATGAAGACGCCGTTTTCAGGAAGTCAGTCGTCCATCATTGCCGATCTCGGTAAACTAATTGTCGACAATTGCCCACCCATGCTTTGTACCGGACTCGATTGCGCTGTGGTTACGGAAAGGAATGGCTGTCAGGTAGGTGAAGAGGCAAGAAATCTGACAATTACGATCTGCATTCCAATTATTAAAAGCTATTTCTTTATCGTTCCATAATAAAAAGAGAACTACGGTTTTATCCAGTCTAAGAAATACCGAAGTTTTCCTTCTGGGTCAGTCTACACGAGTGCCAAGAAATGGCATCGCTGGTGATCTTATTGCGAGAATTAGACTCAAGGCAAAAATATCGTAAAACTCAAATGAAGCATTATTTAACTGGTACTTTCATCCTTGAAATCCATGGAATTATACATGCAGGCGTGAGCCTATTTTCTATTATGAGAGCAGTCGTGATACATTATAACCTTATCCGTCCCCGGGTTGCCTTATGTTTATGGCAGAGGATTCTTACTGGTGTGCAGCAGATTCTACAGGTATTGAAAGTTTCACACTTAGTCTTCTTTTGCGAATTAAACTTTGGTTAGGGGTGCCTTGAAACGTGTACACGATCGGAAATGATGGTGTGATCGATCGCCTCAGGTGCACTACGCTTTCCACCTCTCCTGGGTCAACAAATTGATCCCAGACCTTTTTGGGAGGATAACAGCACGGCCTCGATGCAGCGGTAGGCCGCCGCGGCGAGTCATCGTTTAGGTTAGGTATGCATTCAATCACCTCTAACGATGCTTAGTGAAGTCGAATTCGTGGAGCGTCTCTTAATGACTGATCAACGCCGAGAGCTTTGTCCTTTTACAAAGTAAACGTCCAATGATAGACTTCATAACTTTTCTTAGCACTATGATATTAAAATCGGCTCAAAGTACGCTCATTTTTTCGAACGTGAAGCTTTGTTAATTGTATTCTTGTAGCTAACACCTTTGGATCAGTAGGCATTTTTCCAGTGTACACACAACCTCTAGTGCACTTTAAGTGTAGAACATTCGAAGCTTCCAAAGTACTTAAAAACTTTGCATTTGAAACCTTTTTTTCTGAATGCACTTTACAAAGCTCTCGCGCTCTTTATCTTAATAACCGCATGATTTATCGTCGCCACAGCGATAAATCTTCACGGTTGATCTCGTTCCGCTAGCGTTGAGGTTTCTGTTGCACTTGCCAAACATTCCGGAAAAAAACGGAACGGCGACATCCGCCTACTGTGTTCGATAACATCGCCTACTTACAAAAAACTCAATCGTTACTTCTAATACTGTTGTGACGCTGTGGAGTAATGTTCTTTTGGCTCTTCTCTTCGCTGTAATGTGGTTTCGGTCATCTTCGGAATTGGGTCAACCACACTTTGGACAAATTAGCAGTGGCTTGAAAAATCACCACAGCGACATTTCTATTTTTTCCTTCCCATTCATATTTGCAAAGCCGTCACTTTATTTAATCAGAAAATTCTATAAATAACCCGTTTTCTTTTTGTTCAGCCTATGAAATTGAAATGGGCGCGTGCGGCGCAGTGGTCGGAGGCGCCCCGCAACACACACGTGGAATCGATCCCCGCACCCATGGCCCATCAAGCCTTCCATCCCTCCTGGTTCGGCAAATTGATACCGGACTTGTCTGAAAGAATAGCAGCACTGGCTCGACACATCGGTAGGCCACCGCGAGTCATTGTAAAGGTCTTATATACACCCAATCACCTCCAAATGATGCTTAATGAAGTGGAGTGCATGGCGCATCCCTCAGGGATTGATCAACGCCGACAGCTTTATCCTTTACCTTATCCTTTTATAAAGTCGAAATTGAACAGAATTACTTTTGTACTTCGATCGCTTATCTTATTTTTCACTCCTGACACTCCCTTCATCCAGTTCTTTTTTCATCCAGGGAAATGATCAATTCCGTTTGCATATTCGAGTGAGATTTGAGGATCAGTCCTCAAAGGCCCGTTGAATGATGGTGTGCTATGGTTTTACTTGGAATTCTAGGAAATCGTGCCAGCATGGTTCAAGGTCCTTATCGCAGAAAGTCGCTCGTTCCATGTGGCTTTGGTGTTTTTTAACTAAGATACTTTCAAAAAAAATATTTCATCTTCGGAAGCGGTTTTTACAATTATTCAGTCTATCTTACTTAAATCCTTCCAGCGGTTTACCGCCTCACCGTCGCTGGGAGGTGTTTCTGCGTGTCGTGCTCCGATGTACAGCGAGGAAATTATCCTCCCGGTAGGGTCTCCCAAGGTGAGAAGGAGTCCGGCGATTCCATCAGGAAGCCCAGTTGGGAGTAAACCAATACCAGAATCCATGGGCCGCGACTGCCTGTGGTGGTGACGATAGGGGCAGACTTTGGCCAGGATGTCCTTGGGACTCCAGGGAACCACAATGGGTAAACCAACAAATTTCCGAAGAAAGGAAATTATACTGGGGCCTGGATAACCACTGAAAACGGTCTATCCGAGTATCTGAGTGAGTATCCAAGTAAGTATACAGCCCGACACCCAGGAACGCTTCCCAGCACCCTGCTGTGCATCGTAACCCAACACCCAGGAACACCTTCTACCCACGATAAGGCGGTAAGCCGTTGGGGGGATTGAACCAATGGAAAGGAGATAATATAAGAAGCCGGATCGGGAATAACGTTTTAATTTATAAAATTGATTCTGAATAATATGCTTCTGAAATTAAAACTGTCGGTAGAATCTCTTTTCAATTTCGAAAAATCTTGCGCTAGTAGACAAGGAAACTGCAAAAATCTCATGTACTAAATGTTTTAGCAGTTTTCCTAGCTTAGTTCAGTGACAAAATAAGGAATTATTTAGAAGTATTAGGAGAATTTCCAGGAATCAAGAAATAACTCCCCATTTGAGATCGGAGTCAATCGAAAATAATCGGTTTTGGATAGTTAATGAAACATTCTTTATTAGTTATGTGCTTGTCCGATTGGTTCACCAGCCCGAGGATGTGATCCGATGCCATTCATACTCTGGCATGACCTGATCGTCAATGGTTGCCCGAATGTAACGTTGAATAGTCGCGATCCTGCGCAGAAAGTTCATCGTTGGTTCAGAAGGGTATGTATTGTATAGATAGAGAGGATTACGGTATTAGCTCAAATAGAAATACTTTATTAACTAAATTTTAGTTATTTTCGTAGGACACTGTGCGCACATCCAAAGGCCGTGCTTACTACTACGTTTATGTCAAACTTCTTTTTAGTAAAAACAATAACTGTTAAAAAAGAAAATCGAAATAACAATTACAGGTGAATCGTTTCACTAATACTGACCAGTGTGAACCATACATCTTCCCGTATTGTCCCGAACTCGATTTCAATCTATGGAGGTCTCCACGAACTAAGCAGGTGAGCCATTTCCTAATTTTCTTGGACAATAACCAGTAGCAAAGCACATATGACGATTGTAATCGACAGGTCTCAGTGATCTGATAACTGGAAGCAAAGGCAATTAAGTTATCTACAACACTCTCGCTACGACGCCTAATTTCGCTGTCACCGATAGGTGTCACAGCAACTGCCCCGAATGCTTTTTTTTAGAACGGCGTGCTCTTTTGATGTGACTTCTGTTCTATAAATCGGATTTTCTCTGCGTTTCGGGAAATTCCTGTGATTTCCGTGTCCTATGTATGCTCCATGTTCTTCTACCCACCCTCCTATCTTTTTGGTGCATATGCAACTCTTAGGGACGCGTGTAGTGCAGTAGTCGGAGGCGTCCTGCAACACACGTGAAATCGATTCCCGCGCCCATGGCCAACCAAGCCTTCCAACCCTCCGGGATCGGCAAACTGGTGCCATACTTGTGCCATACTTGTCTGGGAGGATAACGGCACTGGCTCGATACATCGGTAGGCCACCACGAGTCATTGTAAAGGCCAGATAGGCATTCAATCACCTACAAACGATGCTTAATGAAGTTGAATGCATGGCGCATCGCTCAGGGATTGATCAACGCCGAGAGCTTTATCCTTTTATCCTTTGTGCAGCTCTTGTGTATGAAGAAAAAACTCGTCCTCTTTGCAGTCGCATTGCTATCAGTATTCAGCGAAGTTCCGTAAAGATTATTACGATGTTTCGCCTTCGGTTTTGCTATCCTCTCATTCCAAAGAACACCCTAAACTCATCGTAGTTCTTGGAAATCAGAAAAGAAAGGACTGCTTGTCAAAAATGATGCTGCACACCGCATTTGATGCCAGTTCTTCGACGACTACCCACAATTTTTTGAGTATTTGTGTACTTCAGCAGTTGACATCATCAAATTTATAGAAGAAGCCATGCACTGTCGTTTTATGAGTACCAATGTTCTTATGCATCCGCTCGTTCCGTGCTGTCACCATGATTTATCGTAGCGATTGCAAAGGCAACCAATAATTTATAAAAGAAGTTATAGTTTAGAACTGGCTGGCTTTGCTAAAAGTCTCGCTTCACAACCTGAGCATCTATTATGGAATTAAGAATATCTTAAATCCAATTATAATTGATACATTTTGCCTAGCGTCCAGCTCGTTTGCAGGTTTACAAATGTCATAGATTTTGCTGACCGTGGGAAGAAAATCGAAGAGGTGTAAAACATAAAAAGCCGTCTCAAGGTCATTGTAAGTACTGGAGCTCGTATGCACCGAATTTAAACGATATTTGTATGTATAGCATTAAAATTGCACGTATATATATAAAGATAGATAAAGCTGTCGGCGTCGATCAATCCCTAAGGGATGCACCATGCATTCGATTTCATTAAGTATCGTTGGAGATGATTGAATGCATATCTGGCCTTTACAATGACTCGCAGTGGCCTACCGATGTATCGAGCCAGTGCTGCTATCCTCCCAGACAAGTCTGGTACCAATCTGCCGAACCCGGAGAGATGGAAAGCTTGGTGGGCGCGCTGGAATCGATTCCACGTGTGAGTTGCAGGGCGCTTCCGACCACTGCGCCACACGCGTCCTTTTATGTATACATATATCCATTATTAACTGCAGATTGTACACCAAGTGATTTTCTTCGTATTTTTGTTGAGCAAACGCGAGGTGTTACCATTCTTTGTTCACGATTAAGCTGACGTTTCGGCGGATTTCGCCTTCTTCAGAGCCTGGAAAGGTCAAGTTGATGGCAACTCACTCGGCTAGACGCCTCCATAACCAAACAAAGAAACTCCAAACCAAGATTTCAATCACTGATTAAGCTGACGTTTCGGCGAAAAGTACTACGCTCAAATAAGAGGGTTGGCAATGGGACAACGACTGGCTCCAAGCCTTGCCATTGCATTTATGTCTAAGGTGGAAGCACCGGTGACTGATCTCGGGCCGCTACTCTACTGTAGGTATGTAGACGACTGCTTTGTCCTTTGCTCAACACAAGAGGAAATGGACAAATGCTTCGAATTGTTAAACGCACAGTCAGAGTATATCAAGTTCACCCGAGAAAAGCCGAAAGAAAAATGGCTTCCATTTTTGAACGTAAAAATTCACCTATCAGAAAATGGCTACATTACGAAGTGGTACCGAAAGCCAAGTAGTAAAAATATCTTGGTTCATTACCTCTCCTCTCACCCCTCTCACACGAAAAGGGCGCTTATAAGAAACATGTTTCGAACAGCAACCAACTTTTTTTTTTTTTTTTTTTTTTTTTTTAAGTCCCGGAACTTGGCACGGCAAATAGCCATTTCTAATGGCTACGAAACTGTA